TCATTTCTGTAATTTCACTAATATTACAAAAATTGATAAAAGAATTCTTCTGGTATATACTTGTATCAAGACAGAGTTTTATATATTAAGAACAGTATTTATTATTATATTTAACATTATTTTACATCCAGATAGGATTCCTAATATTAGTCTTAATAAGATAATTAATAAAAGTATTTTTGAAAATCTCTATATAACTGTAAAATCATTACACAAAAACTTCTTAATTGTCACGGTGCTAGCCGTGGAGTACGGCCTGGACTGACCGCCCGGGCATGTGACCCGAAGAGACACAAAATATACCAGTCTTCCAGACCCTGTTTATAGCTTCAAGCTATATCTTATCTATCTTTTTATATATAGCCTGATTATAATTAATCAGCCAGTCTCCCGTCTGTTTCTGTTTTCTATTTAAATTATCTTTTTATTATCCTGCCAGCCTGTATCTTGATATTATATAGCTTCTTTTTAGAATAGATAGCTAACTAGATATCTATTATTCTATAATCTCTAATCAGTTCTAACAGGCTTAAAAAATTTATATAATATATTACAGAGAACCCTGAAGAATAATATAACTATTATAATTAAATCTTAGTCTTTATAATAAAGATAAATAATAGCCGCTTTTAATTCTAGCAGAATCTTATTATAAAAAATATTATAATAATTTACTAAGCTTAGTAAATTATAGATATTAACTGCCAGCTTATCAAGATACTTATTATTAAAAAATCATTATTAAGAAAAGAAATCAGATATTAAAAAAATATACCAGAATTATTTAAACTATTATACCTGTAGTCAGTATCTCTGATTAAATATTTAAATCTATTATTAAAAATATAACAGCTGCTTTAATAAAAGTAGTTTTATTAATTAATTTTAATTCTTTTATTTTTATTCTTCTTTCTGAATATATTCCTAATCCTAATAAATTTAAAAGTAACTATATTAATCTTACCTGATTTATCTCCTAGATCTAAGAAAAAATATTTATTAATTATAATTATTATCTGATTTATATAAGTCTGTATGTTCTATATTATAAGCTATTTAAAAAAAATACTGTATAACCAGATCTAGTTTTATATTAAGAATAAAATTTATATCCTGATAAATTATACAGAGATCCTGGAACTCTTATAATATATCTTTAAAGATTCTGATTATATTTATAATATTTAATTAAAATTATACTACCTGAAACAGAATAACTAGAAATTTAGTATTTATTTTACTGAATTTCAGTATCTGGCTTAAGAAACCAGAATATATCCAGATATATTATTTTTAATATTAGAAAAAGATATTAACTGTAAGTTAAAAACTATATTTTTAAATAATATTCTGCCTGAAGAAAACTACTATACTCTAATTTATTTCTTTCAGTTCCTGGATAATAGAAAACTATAATATACTTTAAATTCTTATAATAAGTCCTAGAAACTGCTTACTGGATCAGCTAATCTTATCTTTTCTAAAAAAATCCTGTAGAAACTTTCTGCAGATCCTGCTAGTAAGAAATTCTTTATTCTAGATTATAATCTTATAAATCTCTTTACTTTCTATTATTTATTACCCCGGTCTAGATCTATCTAAAGAAAAAAAGAAAAATACTTCTACTGCAGCTCCAGCTAATATTTAATTTAAAACTATTTTAAATTTAATATTTATATTTAATATACTAGTTACTCTGCATACCTGACCTTACTATTGAAAATATATTTATTATCTTATTATTATTCTTTACCTGTAGTCCCGGCCTCAGTTTACTTTTTAACTTTTCTAATATTTTAATTTATCAAAGTATTATATCCAGAATATCTATACTTTCTAAATCTGAGTAAATAATTAAAAGAAGTTTATTTAATTTAAGTTATTACTAGACTATATTTCCGGTATAAGTCTATACTTTATCTGAAATTATTACTAGAGAACTTTTAATTAAAGAGAAACTCTAAAGAACTAATTTAATAGTAATTTTTATTATACTGAACCCTGAAGAAGAATAAATCTTTATTTATATTATATTTAATACTAGCTGTATTATATCCCGTGTTATAAATAAAAGCTAGATTAAAATCTAATAATTATTATTATATCTTCTGAAATATTCTAAATCTATTATAAGATTTAACAGCCGTGAGAATAAGACTAGAATAATTATCTATTATATCCAAGCTACTTTGAAAATATATAATTATATTAAAAAAGATATTTCTTTTTTAATTACCCAGCTAGCCTACTTTCTGATTATAATTAGTTTATTCTAGCTGAAGCTTTATAATCTCTATATAAACTTTATTAATTATATTCTCTAATTTATTAATTTCTATTACTAGAAGTTCTGTAATATCCTAATCCAGTTAACTAAGATTTATATCTTTTATAATATCCCGGCCTGTGCCTAACTAGTAAATATATATTTATTTAAATCTCTGAAAAATAAGAATATCCAGCCTATCTTTTTAAATATATATATTATATATATCTACTAAAATTATCTTGTTTATATAATTATTATTATCTAGTTTAATATAGTACTCTATACCGCCCCTGACCAGGAAAAGCTTGAATTATTTAAAGAATTCCAGGAATTTACTAATATATTTTTACTCTAGGAGGTAGAGAAGCTTCTATTTTATTATATTTATAATTATATTATTATTTTAGAAAAGAAAAAGACCCTGTTATTTAAATCTTTATATAAAATATTCTAAGAAGAACTAACAGTTCTCTATAAATAACTAGTTAAAAATCTATAAAAAAAATTTATTTATTCTAGCTTTTTTTTTTTAAATTTTTTAATTTTATTTATCAAGAAACTAGACAGAGATCTAAGATTTTATATAGATTATTATATTTTAAATACTATTTTAATTAAGGATCACTACCCGCTACTACTGGTTAAAGAGACTTTAAATAATCTAAAGAGAATATAATACTTTACCAAGATTAATATTATTAGTATTTTTAATAATATCTAGATTATTAAAAGCTAGGACTATCTAATAGTATTTTATATAAGACTAGATCTTTATAAATTATTAATTATATTATTTAAATTATTAAAAGTCCCTGCTATCTTCTAGTATTATATTAATAATATTTTATAAGATTATCTGGATATATTTTATACAGCTTATTTAAATAATATTCTTATTTATAACTAAACTAGAAATAAATATCTAGATTATATCAGAAAGATTTTCTAGAAGCTCTGTATAACTAGTCTATTTATTAAATTATTTAAATATAAGTTTATTATTCCTGAAACCAAGTTCCTGGGTCTCATTATAGACTGTAATAAATTTTATATAAATTCTGAAAAGATTAGAACTATTATTAACTAGCCTGTTCTAATCTATATTATTAATATATAAGTCTTCCTAGACTTCAGTAATTTTTACTATTATTTTATCTAAGATTTCTCTAAGTTAATTATTCTGCTTGTATATCTCATTAAAAAGAATATTTTCTTTTAGTAAGATATAATCTACTAAGATATCTTTAATTATTTATAAAAAATTTTTATTGATATCTCTATACTCCAGCCCTTTAATTAGATCTGTAAAATAATATTTAAAACTAATATTTTTAACTATATTTTTACTAGAGTCTTATTCTAGTATAATAATAATAATCTATTATATTTTATTATCTTTTTCTTTAAGAAATATATCCCAACAGAGTATAATTATAAGATTTATAATAAAAAACTTCTTATAATTATCTACTACTTTAAGAAGTAGTATCCAGAGTTTAAAGAAATCTTATTTTTAATTTAAATTATTACAGATTATTATAATCTAGAATATTTTATATTTATTAAGCTCCTGAACTGCTGCCAGGCCTGATAATTAGAATTTTTATCTTATTTTAATTTTTATATTATTTATTATTCTAGATATTATAAAACCAAGCCTAACAGCCTGACTAAAAGATTAGAAAATCTTTCTAAAGAAAGAGATAAATAATTATTATACTAGAGCTAGACTATACTTAAATAAGAGAATCTAGATTCTGTTTATTTTATAGAGAAAGATCTTGATTTATTATCTGTATATAGAAATTCTATAAAAAATTTCTATAAATACTCTCTAGACTCTATTTATTTTACTAGTAATAAATCTGAGTAATTACAGGAATCTGATCTATTAACTACCCAGGAAAATCTTATAAAAGACTTTTATAGAATTATTCTAGCCCCAGTAATCTAATAATTAATCTAGATTACTTTTAAAAATAAATAAGATTTATAATTATTTTCTGAAATCCAGACCACTCTGCAAGATATATATAAAAAAAATAAATAAATATTAAATATCTTAAAAATACTAGTAATAGACAAGGACTAATATCTAGATATTTTCTTAGCTTTCTATAAAAGAAAAGAAAGCCTACTATACTATAAGAATTATTTATAAATTTTTAATTATATTAATCTAAGAATTAATCTAATTTATTTAGCTTATAATAAGTCCTTCTCAGAATATCCTAGAAAATCTTATATCTATAAATTCTTAATCTGAGAATACTATTGGCTAAACCAGTACTACTATATAAAATAATAAATAAGAAATTATTATATTTATTAAAAAATAATTTTCTTATAGAAGACTAAATAGAATATTCTAAAATCTTTACCAGTTCTAGAATATATTTAATAAAATATATTTATAAATTTTATTATCTATTTACCAGAGAGCAGGAGTTATAATATAATACTAGTAATTATTAATTATCTAATTAAAATAAAATATCTGATTTCTTATAGTATTATAGCTAATACTGTTGCTGTGGCTCATATATATATTTAATATATATAAAAATTATATAAATTATTCTATTTTATTATCTTTAACAGAAGCTTCTAGTTTATTACTAATTTCTAGAGATATTTAATCTAGTATTTAAATATTATAAGTAAGTTATTAACAGTTTATTACCCAGAAACTGACAGGTAGATAAAATAAATAAATATTATATTTAAATAATATCTTTATATTTATATAAATTATCTACAGGATAACTGGTCCAGCTGGTTACTTTTAATTAAATTTATTTTAAATATTATTTATTCTGATATTATTAAGATTATTCTATTTTTTACTAATTACAGCTTTTATTTTTATATAAAGTTTAAATCTATACCTGTATTAAACTAATTTACTACCAGAAATATAAAATAATTTACTACTAAAATACAAGTAATTATTAAATTTATATAAGTTAAGATAATTATAATCTAAGCCAGATATATAAAATAGATAAATAAAAGATATTATTCTAATCTGAGATTCTAAAAGAACCAGAAAGTCTGGCTAAATATCTAATTTATCAGAATATTATAATTTAATAAAAAATTTAACTGGAATATTCTAGATCTATATCTAATTAAGAAAATTATTAGTTTATATACTTATTATCTGATACTTCTTTCCAGTATAAAGATTTATTCAGTATTTTATATAAGCCTGCTTATTTTTACTAGTAATAATTTATTATTAGACTAGTACTAGTCTCTTTCTTTCTATATTAAAGTTAATAGTCTTAAAGAATAGAAAATTAAGAATATACTAGATTTTTTCTAGGATTACTGTGGACAAGGCTGATCCTGATTATTTTATTTTATTAAATAAATAAAATATACTGACCCCACCACAGAGCCTGCTGAATATTTAGAAAATATTTATTAAATTATTAAGAATTTCTATTATTATTATTTAGACAAGCCTGGATCTTCCCCTCGTAAAAATTCAGTTTAAAAAAAAAAGAAATATTATTATAGTATTAGCTGTGGAGTACAGCCTGGACTGACTATCCGGATATATAATCTAAAGAGATATAGAATATATTAGTCTTCCAGATTCTGTTTATAGCTTTAAACTATATCTTATCTATCTTTTTATATATAGCCTGACTGTAGTTAGCCAGCCAGTCTCCTGCCTGTTCCTGTTTCCTGTTCAAGCTACCTTTCTACCACCCCGCCAGCCCGCACCTTGACATTAATTAGAATTCAGAGGCAGTTACAATTTAACTATAAATTTTATATAATATAGTGGTTAGTTAATGTTGGCTGGAAAAGTCACTTAATAAATTACTAATCAAATTATCAAAAAGAAACATTCTTAAAAATATCCAATCGACCTGAAACTCCTATACAAATTATAGGGGATTCCCAGCTCAGAAGGATACGGAACAGATGAAGTTATTATGGATTATCTCTACAAGAATTTTTCATGTGAAATCTCGTATTATCGATATCCTTCTGATTATTTCTTTATTCACTGTCATTTACCCCACCTGCCTACCCCACTTTCTTTGTTTAATGATCAAACTGATGATTCATGATTCTGATCTAGAATAATTCACTGAAACTGATAAATAGGGTCTTTCAACCCCTAGCTGGATCAGAAAGAAGTAAGCAACATTGAATCTATTCACTCTTTGAATTCATTCACTTTCTATCTAAAGGATTGACTTATTTCCTATTTAGGAAGGTTGCTTCCCTTTGACTACTTTATCAATTGTATTTATCTTTTATTTATTTGATATCTAGTTTCCTATTTTGGACTAGTATCACCTGACTTGATTATATAAAGATTATATAATCGTATTTTTAAATTACCAGACTATCTGACAGTCACAATATCTAGCTTCCTATTTTGGACTAGTATCATTACCTTTTTAGGCTTAATGCCATATTACCTAATCAATTCAAGCTTCTTTCTGATCCCCTCCTACCCTGACCGGCCTAGCCTCGCTAGACCGCTTTCCCTTTTCGGACTAGCGCCCCTGGACCGGCCCGACCGCCAACAGTTAATAATAACTTTTTTGATTAGTAGCTGTCTATTTTATTATTTTAATATTAAAATCTTGAAAATTTAGAGATTTAATTAAATTGATTTTCTATTATTAGTCCTTGCAGGGCTGGCAGTTAATTAATTTATGGTGTATAAAATAACTTACATAAGATTAATAATAACTTTATGTTTATATATCTTGTATATATTTACTTCTTTAATATTATTGAATTATTTTAGCTAGTAATTAATTGAACTAAATTTTTTATTTAGTATACTAATAATTATATTCTGGTACAGCCTACATAAAATAATATAAATCAAAATCATAAATAACTAGATATTTACTATAAATACTCATAATTTTATCAAGAATAATATTAAAATATCTTTCCATAAACTATAATTATAAATATCATATATATAAATAATTTTACTTCCTGTATCCAGGCCCCGAAGAATCAGAATATTAAAATATTAAAATTTATCATCTTAATGAAAAATAGATCTAGAATAATTTTTTTATATCTGTTCAAATAATTAATATAGCTATATATGAATAGCCTTGTGAAAATTTAAATGTATATAATTATTATTGTTATCAGTATTATTACTATTATTAAAGTTGAGATTCAAAAAATATTTATCTTTATTATTATCAATATTAGTCACGTTTTCTATTTCAATAATAATTCATTAACTCAATTTTATTTATTTAGATAACTAAAAGCCCTGTGTAAAAAACTTATTGTTATTTCTATTTATTATTATATTATTATTAATTTTACTGACAAAAACAGGTGTCTTCCAGTAAAATTATTTATAGATTATTATTTTAATATCTTGAGACCAATATTATTTGATATTCTAGAAGTTAGTATATAATTATTAAATATAGGATTATCTACTATATAATTATATAAATCGTAACTAAATCTAGAAGTTTTTATAATCTTTGTTATAACGATTCTTATCTTAGGTATTATTGTCTTTTTCTTAGTTTATAAACAGGATTATTCTGTATAATATAATTGATTAAATTTTTGTTTATATAAAATAATAGTAGTATTTTATATATCACATATAATGATATTAAATAATTTACTAGAAAACTGTTTGATATATATTATATCTGATACAAAGATTTATAAAAGAATCTGGTAATATTATTTAATATTATTAATAAAATATAGAATATAATGTCTATAGTTTTTATTCTATTTATATAGATTATTAATGTTTTTATCATTTTTTATATAATACATATAGGCTAAGTACTTATTAAAATATTAATATATATTTATAATTTTGATATTCATAATACTAAAAAGTATGCTGGTTTTAGTTATAAATTATAATATTAAAAATATTATTATCAAATAAAATCTTAATATAAATAATTCTACTAGCAGTATAATTATTATTAAATTTTAAAATTAATATCAATTGATAATTTCTTCAAATAATCTTTTTTAAAGTTTTATTTAATTTATATATATAATAGCTGTCAGTATAGTAGTCCACGAAATTCTAAATATAGAAAAAACTAAAGCCATAATAAACAGTACTAGAGTAATATATAATAAAAGTTAATCTTAACTATAATCTAATGAAATATATTTTAAAAACGGTTATCTTGCCCTGGAGTATAGAAATATTATTATAAGAATAAAAAAATATAATTAAGATTTTTAGTATCTTTTCTGGGACAGATAGAATTATCATCTATTTTTCAAAATATATTAAAACAGCTTAAAACATATTTTATATAGTTTTTATAATTATTATCTTATCATTTTATTATTTACAGCTGTAGAAGCTGGCAGAGATAATTAAATTTTCCAAAATTAATAAAATTAATACAAGTTTATTAATAATAATTTTATTCAAAAAATAAAAATTACTCTAGTACAGAGACATAAAGTCTTCCTAATGGTAATAAATATATAAAATATCTTTGATATATTATTTATTTAATTGAAAATTTTTAATGACATACAGCTTAAATCTATTTAAGAATATTATTATTAATAAAAGTCTAGTATATTACAGCGAACTAAGAACGGCCATGCACCACCATCCAAAAGATCAAGAAAGAGCTCTCAATCTGTCAATCCTTATTTTGTCTGGACCTGAAACACCGTTCGATCCCTAGTCGGCATAATTTTCAAGTCACAGTGCAGAGTGGTCGTGGGATACTTACCTTTGCATCTGCTTCTCCCTGAATCTTCGCTTCAGGTACGTTTTGAATGCTTCTTATCTTTGCATCTACTCTTTCCTGAATCTTTATTTCAGGTGCCTTTCAAATACTTCTTACTTTTACTTAAAGAAACATGCTGGATTAGAAGATTAACCTGTTTATAAATAATACAGCTGATACAGAGAAAGCTTATAAAAATATTAATAAAGTAAAAACAGAACTCAGTAAATATATCTCTACTGGACAGATTTTTTAATATATATAGATAATTATAATACTCTGAATAGAGATTTTATTTAATCTTAAAAAATAAAATAAAACAGAGTTATTTTATAATTTTTTCTTAAATATATATATATAACATGCTTGTATTTATAATATATTAATTTTTTAATATTACCAGTACTGCTAGTATTACTATAAAAATTAACTTATTGAGAATAACTCTCTGTACAGAAACATTTCATTAAATAAAATAATTTAATTTAATCATCCACTGCTATATACTGGATTAGATATTTATTATATTTTTTTATAAGTCTATACTTTTAATACATATTGTTGGCTGGAAATCAGGAATCCTTACTAACTAAAGCAATCATCTCTTAACTACCCAACTCAGCTGAGAATCCCATA